TAGATGTAGAAGATGTAGATAGACGATAGATAGAGTAGATAGATAGATGTAGATAGATGTAGATAGATGTAGATAGATGTAGATAGATGTAGATAGATGTAGATAGATGTAGATAGATGTAGATAGATGTAGATAGATGTAGATAGATGTAGATAGATGTAGATAGATGTAGATAGATGTAGATAGATGTAGATAGATGTAGATAGATGTAGATAGATGTAGAAAGATGTAGATAGACGTAGATAGACGTAGATAGATAGATGTAGATAGATGTAGATAGATGTAGATAGATGTAGATAGGTGTAGATAGATGTAGATAGATGTAGATAGATGTAGATAGATGTAGATAGATGTAGATAGATGTAGATAGATGTAGATAGATGTAGATAGATGTAGATAGATGTAGATAGATGTAGATAGATGTAGATAGATGTAGATAGATGTAGATAGATGTAGATAGATGTAGATAGATGTAGATAGATGGAGATAGATGTAGATAGATGGAGATAGATGTAGATAGATGTAGATAGATGTAGATAGATGTAGATAGATGTAGATAGATGTAGATAGATGTAGATAGATGTAGATAGATGTAGATAGATAGATAGATGTAGATAGATGTAGATAGATATAGATAGATATAGATACGAATATTACATTCAGACCTATATAGACATTGATATAGGTATAGACTGTATAGATATAGATCCACATCATTCCACTGTGGTGCCCACCCTTTAATCTTGACCAGTTCACCCATCCAATTCCGCCTGACTGTGCCAGGATCCACCGAATTGGCAAAGGACATGGTGGATTCCTGCCCCTGCTTCCCGGTAATACCTCGGTGCTGCAGATGCGAGCCTGCCATCAACCAAAACATGGGATGAATGGAAAAAAAATGGTCATCAACCATCATTTGGGATTAACCCCTATTAATGATGGTTATCCCTATTAATCTTTATTAATGACCATTAATCCCTATTAATTAATGATGGTTATCCCTATAAATGATGGTTGATGGTTGATGGTTATCATTAATGGTTACCCATCATAATGGCTATCTACATCCCCAACAAAATCCCTTGATGGCCATCCCCTCCAGATGTGGCTTCTGTGTTTCGCACGAATGCGGAAGCTTCCTGCTTGGGTCACATCTGCCAGCTCAATCTTGGCACCCAGGACAAGTGAACCGAAAGGCCACTGGGCCCCAAATCAGATGGAGCCAGCCAAAACTAGGGGATGACAAACATATGGGGATGGGTCAAAACCCTGGTACCTAGTGAACCCCAAGTCAAAGCTGGGATTTATGGATGTGAATAACCCACTAAAAATGTATCTATAGGTATTGACCCATCCCCATATGCCATCATATACTGTAGGATATCCTTGTATTACGTATTTACTTCAAATCGTTCCATGGGCAGATCCTACAATTGGATTGCCCTTCTCACCGGTCTGAGAAAAAAACAAATGCAAACAATCTACCGAAACCTGGAGTTGTCCCACCCAAAACTTGGACGCAACGATGGCAACAAACATTCTCATGTGGGATTGTCTGAAATTGAGGGATCAAAAAAGCACAAATTTTGATGGTGTGTGATCATTGTCCATCATTTTCCATCCATTTTTCAATGTGCAGTGCTTCGCGTTGCAGCTGAGTCGATGTCCCAATGCTTCTCGCGAAGGACGCCATCGGCAATCAGCCGAATTGCCTGCCACCGGCTCGACGTCTATCAGCGTAGGAATTAGAAAGGGATCCAATGGGGAGTTAATCACCCATGATAGAGTTTCCTTTGCATGTTCCTGTCATTAATGTGTATAAGTGTAATGCCATCAACAAACGGAAATTCAAGGGTTAATCACCAAACATGATAGTGATTGGGTGATTGGGTTGGTTTCAGGGATTTTTGTACAGGACAGCATTCTTGTTTGTCCCCTGAGTTGTACGGCTTTCCTTTAAATGTTTCCTTCATCTGGATAGTGGTTTTTTTCCTCTTCACTTCACCTTTCACCTTCGATTCTTAGAAGGTGTTGCTGGCCTGGGCCTTGTGGGTGTCATTATTCCCCAGTATGGTTTTTTGTCTCGCTTGGAGGCTCTTAGAAATGTCTAGAAGAGGCTTTCCCGGCTTCTTCCGTTGGATTTTGGCTCTGCATGCGGAGCATGTTCAGATCCAGGGTCGTTGCGTGTCTGATGGCTTGGTACTTGTGGGAACCTTTAGCAGCATCATTTGCAATGCCGTTGGGATACAAGCCCTGCAATTATGGCCACCTACCCACCAGCCAGCATGAAGTGGAAATTGCCCCCACAAGGTGGCCATCACCAAAAGACTCAAATCTTGGGTTAAGACTTTTGGGATGATGGGTTGTGGATGTTGTGGGCTTGGCTTGTTCAGAGGTCTCCAAATCACATGCCAGCTGACAGCTCTTGGAACCTGAACTTCCATCGAAGGCATCACGAGCGTCATCCCTTCAACCTGCACAGGGCATAGCTGGCATAGCTATCGATTGCTGTTTGGTCGCTTTACCCAATCCCAGGGAACATCATCAGTTGGACCAGCAACCATTGCGGCCCGGGCCTGACCGGCATTCAGCATGCTACCATCTGCCTGGCATATGAACTGCTCATACTCATACAGCATCGAAGCTCCCAAAAGAAACACTTTGGCGGCCGTCATGTCAACTCCAAATCAATCAAACCTTCCTGATCAGTTCAGGGGGACGGGGGTCCCGCCAATTTCAACTTGAAGCACCTGGATCTTCGCAACGACCCAGGGAGTTACCCTAGCCGCTGACATCAAATATCAGGGGGATCAGTTCGTGTTCCAAATCCATGGGACTTTGGGGCCACCCTCCTGAAAACTTCGTTAGACATGGAAAACTGACCATTCATAGATGTCATAGATCATTTTCCCAACCACAGGATGTTAGTTTACCGAAGGCTAACCACTTCCCCTGTCCCAGACGCCCCATGAGTTCCAGACTGTGGTGGCTGAGCTCAAGCCAGACACCTGCCGGATGATCTTTCTTTGGATACACATCTTATACATATGTAGTATGAATTATATGTCTATACATACACATACTATATATAGACATATATATGGTCCCGTGTCCCGTGTTCCCACCCCCCCCCATGGGATGGGGGGGGGGTATGATGCCCCTGTGGTGGTGTATATACATACATACATACCTACATACCTACCTACCTACCTACCTACATACCTACGTACATACATACCATTACATTACATTACATTACATTACCTTACCTTACCTTACATTACCTTACCTTACCTTACCTTACCTTACCTTACCTTACATTCCATACATACATACATACATACATATACACACACAGACATACATACATACATACATACATGCATACATACATACATACATACTTCATTACATTACATTACATTACAGTACAGTACATTACAGTACATTACATTACATACATTGCATTACATTACATACATTGCATTACATACATTACATTACATTACATACATTACATTACATTGCATTACATTGCATTACATTACATTACATTGCATTACATTGCATTACATTGCATTACATTGCATTACATTGCATTACATTGCATTACATTGCATTACATTGCATTACATTGCATTACATTGCATTACATTGCCTTACATTGCATTACATTGCATTACACTGCATTACACTACATTACACTACATTACACTACATTACATACATTACATACATTACATACATTACATACATTACATACATTACATACATTACATACATTACATACATTACATACATTACATACATTACATACATTACATACCTTACATACATTACATACATTACATACATTACATACATTACATACACTACATACACTACATACATTACATGCATTACATACATTACATACATTACATACATTACATACATTACATACATTACATACATTACATACATTACATACATTACATACATTACATACATTCCATACATTCCATACATTCCATACATTCCATACATACCATACATACCATACATACCATACATACCATACATACCATACATACCATACATACCATACATACCATACATACCATACATACCAAACATACCATACATACCATACATACCATACATACCATACATACCATACATACCATACATACCATACATACCATACATTCCATACATACCATACATACCATACATACCATACATACCATACATACCATACATACCATACATACCATACATACCATACATACCATACATACATACATACATTACATTACATTACATTACATTACATAACATAACATTACATTACATTACATTACATTACATTACATACATACATACATACATACATACATACACAGACACTAGACAAGAATGGATCATTATATGATCCGGCAGGAACTGAATCCTGAAACATGCAGATTAAATACGAAACACTGAAATTAACGATGCATCCTACGAATAATGGAAGTACTTCAGAATGGTCATCGGGTTCAGAATCGACATCAAAAAGAATAAATAAACCAGCAATAATATCATCGGCGATGCCTCGGCGAAGATTAGCCAATAAATAACTGTCGGCGACGATGTTGTCGGCGATCATGTAAACGAAATGTTACAAGTATGCTTTCTACGTCCTTGCTCTGAGGAAGGTTCTGATGCAACAAAATCGTGACGTGGTTTCGGCGAAAATGCAGATTGTGGCAACCGTGTAGATTCGAAACAATGCAGTGTAACAGCTTGGTCAACAGTTCAAACTAAGTTTTGCAGGTACAAGTGGTTGATCAGACCACTCATCCACCGAAATGCCATAGCTTCGTTGGACTGGATAGGCAAATCGGCTCCAGTCCCCCTGCAAATATAAAAAGTTCCCTGCAAGTGTAAAACGGTAAGAGTCAAGGAAGTTTTACATCTGTTCAGATGTTACACACACACACCGCTTGTAGCGGGGTTTGATTTTTGGAAGACCATCGCAGCAAATGTCGACAAAATTAAATACATAAAGCTTTTCCGGAGCTAATGTACATAACTGTATTCAGTCACTCAGAAGGGAGGCTCGTCTCAGCTTGAAGTGTTTCGATCGCGTCACGGAAGCTCATGTCCTCAAGCGTCCTCCACGTGTCGTTGATTTCCCCAGATGCCATAGCAGCCCTCAAAGTGATTGAAAGTTGTTGGGCCAAGTCCTGGATCGTCGGAGTAAAACGGGTTGCCTCCGTAGGTGCCGTGGTCTCAATGGGAACGTTGTGAAAAGGGTGATGTCCATGTACTAGAGGAATTTCAAAATGATGTCGCCAATAATCCGCTGTGCGCAGGGACCACTCCCAGTTGCCCGAAAGACCATAAAAGTAGTGTTCAGGATCACGACATCTGGAAAGCCCTGACAAGGGGATCTCTTCAATGAATAGTTCCCTGGTGTTGTTGGAGTGGGTAAAGATCTTGAATTGGATCTGGTGAACCACGCGGGAAGAGAAGTGAGCACGATGGAGGTAGTTGTGTGTAGAACCTGGCTCCGTCGGAAACGGGACATCAGGAGGTGCGAGGCCTGAATATGTATCAGAATGGACCGTAGTTCCAAGGTCAGGAGCTGTACTGTCAGTCGCCAAAGGTGCCGAGGTGGTGTTGGTAGGAGGGTCAGGAAGGCCAGAATGACAAAGTGCAGCAGCCTGGGTGTCTGGTACTTGAACTGGGTTGGTAGGAGCGAGTCCACGGGCAGGATTCGAAGGCCAAGCCAAGCCCGCCACGGTCGCGTCTCGTTTGTGCTCCATGGGTGAAACGATCAAAAATGCGAGAAATGGTGCAACAAAGGCTGAGGCATCAAGAATTGCATAAAAAGTCCAGCCCGAACATGAGAATACTAATAAAATTGATAATATAAGTGAAGTCCAGTCCTCAATCAAGTGGTTCAATAGCGACGGAGAAGCCAAAGCTCAAAGTCAAAAAAAGTGGAAATCAAAGAATTCTTTGTGTTGGTGAGGTGTCAAGGGAAAATTGAAAACCCTGTAGCATGGTCTTTTTGGCCTGCTAGCGTATCAGGGCAGGATCACACCGGAGCTAACTTTGTAGCATTGCAGACGTAGTACGAAAGGCTGTGTGGTACCCGGAATGAGCAAAGAGGATTCGCGGGAATTGTACTGCCGAAGTCGCCATTCAGGTCGGTATTCCTCCAAGAGCTGCAAGATCGTCATATCATTGGAGACTTGGAATGTATCACCGTCAAGGTCGCAAAAGCGAAACTCCAAATTCGAGGGATCAATTTGGATGTCCCATTGGGACCTCAATCTTTTTGAAATACAGAAGCGTAGTTCGCCAATTGGGATGAGGCCGGCTTCAACTGGTTCCATCTGACGCGACCAGGTAAACAGAGCCTCAAGTTCGTAGCCACTAACATTTCTGAAATTCGAGCTAGCCATAGCCATGTAGTGTTCACGGTCAGGTTCGCTGCGATGAGTCAATGCTTGTAGGGAGAGAAGTCAACCAAGATAAGAACAGGTCGATTTGGAGGAGGGTTCACATCACCAGGAAGGCCTCGATGTCCAGCAAACCATCCAATGGTTCGTGTACCCAGCGGTGTCTCAATCGTGGATGTAGCGCGATATGGATGGGGCCGAGAGGAATGAGCCATGGCGTCGAATATCGAGTGTCGAAGATAAAGCGGAAAGCCCAAGCTGCAGGATAGGTTGATAATGACCAAAAATTAAGCTCGGAGTGTTGAAAATTGAAGAGAAACGGTGTACCTAGTAAGTGATCACTAAAAGACGGTAAATCACGGTTCTTTTTCGATGCCGAGAAATGATGTGGTGCATTACACACTGGAGTCCGACATATCCATCGGGTCAATATCGTTCGCATCCAGTGGACGATGTACTTGTTGAGGAGGAACGGCAGGGCAAGTGAGATGTACAGTACGTTGTAGTGTTGCCGGTGGGGAAGAAGGTGGTGTAGACCGCCAAGGTGGCCAATATAAGGAGGTGGTGGTTCCTTGGGAGTGGTGTTGGGCAGAGCGTCCCCAGCATGACTGCAAAATATGGAGGTGATCCGGTATCGCTTCGTATGGCTGGGAGACATAGACGTTGGAGTGTTCAGGGTGTGGTAGAACAGGAACAGCAGTTGCCGTAGAGGAGGAGGATGATGATTGAATTGGTACGTCATAGTATCGACGCCAATGATTAGCTGTGGTACGTAGGGTAGCCTGATCGTTGGTGAGGTGCATGTTCTCCAGAAATGTTTCCACTGGTTTCCACGTTTCAATACCATCAAGTGTCCTTTCCACGATCCAAAGTTCATCTGGACGGGTAGACAAAGGATAGCTCAGCTTCTTGATGAAGACGGAATGAACAGTGGTAGAGGTCGGAATCGTTCTCGCTGCACGGGGAATATAGGATGCCGAAGTAGGATCATCAGGTGGCAGGTGTGGGACAAGGCCATGTACGGATGTAGGTGGGGAACGGTGTGAGACCAATCGAGCAGTATCATTCGTGTTGGAGGTCATCATGTAAAATAGCGAAATTATGATATCGAGATATACTGAACTGAAGCCGAAAAGCCGTGGAGAAGGTCAATGATGAAGAAATGAATAACGAACATCACCAATGGAAAAACGAGAAGTGGAGGAGACAAAGGAAAAACAGAACCGGGGTGGCGGACATCATAACGAATGTTTTCCTTTTTCCTCATATCGATCTCGAAGGCTAATCACTCGGCCGCTTTAGTGTATCTGGTGGCCGTGACGAATGGATGCCCACGGGGAATCACTTGAACATGTACAGCGAAGCCTGTGTCTTGTGCATCTGGATGGGGTGTCAGCAGCAAAGGTGAACACTCACGAGTCGTGAAGGCATCGAGATGTTGATGAGTTTTCCATGTCGGGTAGAACCAGTTCAAGACGTCCAAAAGAGAATGAGGGAGGTCGTCAAGCATCTGGGCTCCTTGATCGGTGTCAATCATCATGTAGAAATCTGAAGCTGGTAGATGTATCGACCATCGT